TCGAGCGGGTCGTCCATGTACTCATACGTCGGCGGCGTATACTTGAGCAGATCCTCCAACTGCGCCACCACGCGACATCAGCGCCCACATCTCAGCGAGGAATAAAAATAAAACGCACCAGCAACCGATACCGTGGTATCCGCTGCACAGGAAGTAATAAGTAGCCCTCGAGATTCAGTTGCGAATGCCTAGGGCTGATCCGACACCGGTCGATGTACTTCCGCAGCCGCTTCCGCTGGCTCGTCGTGAGTGGGGGGACGCCGGACGCCGCGCCAGCATCAGGGGTGACATTTGGACTTGAAATGGAGGACAGCGTCAGTCCAAGACCCGCAAGCTGTGAGGTCGACGGCGTCATCGTAGGCGTTGGGTTGGATGGCCCAGGCATGGCTGTCCAGTTCCTGACACGCTGTAGGGCGTTGTCAAAGTTGCTGCAGGAGGGTGCGTCATTAACCCCCGTCGAGCAATACAAATAATAGCACGAAACGCTTACTTGATGTAGCTTGAATACATCTTCATAAAGGCGGCGTGCTTGAGGAACATGCTGCCAATAGCCTTGGCCACATTCAGCGAGAGCTGCCCATCCGCGTCCGCCTCCAGCAGCTCGGCGCTCGATTTCATGATTGGTGCAGCGGCAATCTCGAGCGCAGGGAGGAAGTTTTCCTTGTGGAAAGAGAACAGCGCATCGATACCACCAAAGACAATCCTCCGCTCCGACGCGGGCACCACGGTGTCCTTGCTCGAAGCACCGAGCAAGTTGACCGCCGCCGCGCCAGGCTTGATATAGATATCGACGAGCTCCTGCAGACCCTTGACGTACGTTCGCTCAGTTCTAGTCACATCGAATCTAATCAGCACAGCCCAACGAGAGTTGTTAAAAAGCACTTACACGACAATCTCGCGGACCACCATCGCCCGCATGCCCTTGTTGTCTTTGAACTTGCGCTCGTCAGACCCCGACCCGCTACTATCCGTCGTCGCCACGCTGTTCGTCTGCGCCGAGCTCCCGCGCATCCCCGACATCGAATCCGTCGAGCGCAACTGCCCCAACGAGTCGAGCGAGCTCCCATTTGACGACGACATGGACGCCTCGCGCTCAATGCCCGCCAACGTTGGCCTTCGTGACCGTGACACGAGCGCCTCGTCCCCATTAGCACCGTACATCCCCATCGCCGCCGCCTGCTGCGACAGCCCAAGGTCGTTCATGTCTTTGAGGTACGCCATCACAGACCGCAACGCGCGCTGGTACGCCTCGCGTTGTCGCTCCTCCTCGCGCCGAATATAGCTTTCCACGACTGGGCTTCCGTCCGCCCCGTCCGCATCACCCGTCGCCATTACCCCCGGCACAAAGGACGACGCGTCGGTGATCGGGATATTGAGCGTCAGCGCCGGCGTATCAAGTGGGAGGAAGCTTCGACGCTTGACCGTCCGTACCGTGGGCGGCGGTACAGCCAGCAGGTTGTTGAGTGCGGTCGCACTCGGCGGCGGGGAGCGCTCCTCTTCTTCCGGCGCAGGAGGAAGGGTATGGTGGATCGCAGGTGGGTTGAACGCGTCCAAATTACCTGTCGTCGAGATGCGCATGTTGATTTGCGGCGTGGTCGTGAAACGATCAGGTGATGTGTTGGGGTGCGCCATCGGCGCCTGGTTGGGCGTGCGGATGATCTGTGGTCGCCCCTGGGGCAGTGGGCGGGGCGACGGCGGGTCGGGTTTCATCTTGCCCATCGACATCTTCTTCAAGAAGCCCCACCGGCTGTTTTTCTCCTTACCGGGTGCCGCGCGGATTGTGCTCCCCCCGTCAAATGGTGGGACACGCGGCGGGGACGTGTTTTGCGCCGCATAAGAAGCCACGCGGCTCGGACCACGCGACGGGTTCGGGTCCTCGTTCTCGCGGCCAGTGCTGCCATCCCACATGGACTGTGTTAGCGGCATCCGCGCGCTGGCCGGGGGATTCCGCGACGGGCTGCCATCCATGGTACTTGCGGGTCCGACGCTCGCAAAGCGCTTCTGTATACCAGGTCGCGGCGGAGCTTGACTCAACAGGTTCGTGCTGGAGACCGAGGTCGCATAGTGCTGCATGCCGGGTCGAGCAGAGGACTCTCCTCCACTGCGGTTGGCGCTGCGATTGAGCCGCAAATCGCCCGCGCTTTTCATCCGTCGAACTTCGTGATCGCCAAAGTAGCCGGGATCTTCCTGCTCGACGTTGGCCGCGTCTTGTCGCAGGATGGGGTGGTGTGGGCGGTTTGGGGTGGTACGGGTTCGGGTGAGACCGCGACCTTCGCCTGGAGATCGCGCCCGGTCGGGGGTAATAGTATGCTCCTCCTCCTCAGGGGACAATGTCTCAAATCCCCTGCCACTAGGCCCTGAGCTAGGGGGCTCCGAGAGGTCGTCGTCAGTATCCTGGTCTCCTGAGGACGGAGAATGGAGAGGAAACATGGGGGTGGAGAGTGGGTATATCGGGGTTGTGGGCACCTTTGCGAGGAGCGGCTCGACGAGGGCCTTCCAGGGGCCCTGGAAAGGGTTACCATCGACGTAGAGCGTCTGAAGGGCGGGAAGGAGGGCGAGCCAGCTGGGCAGGGCATGCATTTTATTTCGCCGAATACTAATCGTGTGAAGCTTGTCGAGATCAGCCAGGGTGTCGGGTAGGGTTGTGATGCCGGTAGAGTCCGCAATGATGACACGGAGGTGGATTAGATCTGCAAGAAACACGGGGAGGACGCGCAAGGGATTGGACGCAATGTTGAGCTCCTCGAGGCAGACACAGAGGGCGAGGGTTGGAGGGAGGGCATTGAGAAAGTTGGCAGAGATGTCGAGGGCGAGCAGAGACGTGCATATCTGGGGCACGATGCCAGTGAGAAAGGAAGGCAGAGCGTTGGGAGAACCAGACGACCCCAGAAGCAGATGGGTTGTCCCTGATGGCGGGGTCAATTGTTGCCGTAGGGAAAAAGTACGCAGAATACATACCCGTCTGCACATGGAGGTCGGCGAGCGGGACGCCCTCGCCCTGGACGATCATGCCGCGTCCCTCGTCGGCGATGAGAGCTGCAGAGGTGCGCTCCTCGTCGTCTTCCTGGTCATCATCGTCGAGTGGAAGCAAGATATGATCCTCGTCGGTCTCCTCCTCGCTGGCGCCAAACTCATCGCGCTCATCGACAGAATGCTGCCAGCCCATGTCGTAGCTCTTCTTTTGATGGAGACGCGGGGAAAAGTGGTGGTCGGTGCTGGGATTGCCGACGGAAGAGGAGCGGGATCGGGGGCTGGAATAGGACTCGGACCAGCGGGACTGCTCTGGGGCACGGGGGTCGTCTGCCATAAGGTGGGAGACGGAGGCCGGGGTGATGCGCTCGTCGTCGTCTGTCTCGTTTGACGCGACGCGGACATGGGCATGGTCGCTACTCGCCAACGCGCTGCCGCCGCTGCCTCCGCTGGTATATGCTGAGGACCGCGTGGACCCGGAGGACGAGGAAGAGAGGGCGGGGGGCGTGGAAGACAGAGAATGTGCCTGGCGATACGGATATGGGTCGGGGAAGTGGCTTGGGTCCGGGAGACCCTTTGGGGGCCGTGCAAAGGAGGCGGGGGTCGCGATATGCACCGTAGAGGGCGATGTTCTGGTGGGACTCGTTGTTTGTGGGTGAGTTGAGGACGAGCGGGGGGGAGGCGACGAGGTGAGAGGCCATGGAAGCAGCAGACAACCCTTGGCAGGTTATTAGGAGTGAGAAACGTGACTTTAGTGAAACTGACTGGTCTCAGGCCCGCCCTCCTCGTCCGACAACGAAATCCACGACGACCGGTCCATTCAGAGCACACTCCAGACAGCGAGCACGCAGTAGTATCCACCCAGAGTCAATACCCCGCCATCAACACATCCACGCGTTTCCACAGGGCGATCACTCGCTTCTTCCTCGCCCCCAGGCCTCAATGTCCATCCAACACCTGCATACTCTCGCTCCATTTTCACCGTTCACAAACCACTGAAAGGAAGCTCGCTCGTTCAATATTTGCACCATCAAGCCATCCATCTTCTCGCCCGGTCTCTTTTCCCCGACCCGACCCGCGCGCGCCCTTTACCGCCACGCTCGCAAATTAAAGAGTGTGCCTAGCCCACCATCAACGCGTTCCAAGTCCACCGGTCGCCGTTACACAACCTAAAACCTCGCGGCCTATCACCGCTATGCCCTTACCCTTGCCCTTACACAACCTCCGTCTAGTTGCACTGGACCCGCAATTATATTTACTCCTTGCTCGCGAAAATCAGAAAGATGACCAGATTCAAACCGCTCCCGCTCTCGACGTCCTAACTTACAAAAAACCCAAATAAGATGAGCACTCCGCTCCGTCCTACGTACTCCCTACGTCTACGTACCGTATAATCATCTCGCGGCGCCCGGCCAATCTTCGGAGCGCGGACGTTGCATACCATCACTGTTCTCTGTTCTCTGTCGACGCCCACAAGACAATTGTCGATTGACATCGGTGACCTGGCAAAATTAACACCGTGAACAAAATCCTAGCGCAATCTGATGACCGATATTCCCCGGCGGTTCAGTCCAGCCAGCCGCAGTCCTTTCATTTGCGAAACTTGGCGACGGCCGCGGCAATCCTTGCTGTCCAATAAAACCTATCCCGAGTGTGTAGTGCGTTTGTTGCAGATGTCAGACAATTGACCTGTTTCGCTAGATATCCTTTCTTCTCCTGGTTGAAACGTACGGTATCCGAGTCGTTAAATGCTCGGTTGTTAACCCGTTCGACTCAAAAAAAATTATCCTTCGCATGAGTCGTTTCCTTTAATTGACCTCCTCAAACCAAAAGAGACTGCCTTACAATCGAGACATGATAGTACAACGGTCAGTACACCTGGCATGGTGCGGCTTTGAGATTAATGATGTATACCGGGACCTCTGTTCGATTCATACCCATACGTGGTACCGTTTTTATGGTGGCTCTTGGAATTTATTCTAATCAAGTTTCTCGCTCTCCTTACTAGCACATTGGGAAATGATAAAGATGACCTGATAGCATAACTGGTAGTGCGCCTGCTTTACATTACGATATAACATAAGATCGAGGCATAGGGTGTCCCCGTTCGATCCGGGGTCAGGTCTTTTCGATTTCAACTCACTTTTTTGGTTGGTGGATTTCGACGAATGTTTTTTGAACCGAAAGCTACCATGATAGTTGGCAACGGTGTAGGAGTTAACCCAATAACTGGTGGGCGTGGGTCAGTGTAGTTGAACCGAAGAGTAAGTTCGATGGTGGTATTTTTGCCTTCATCTTTTTTTTTAGTGTCTTTGTTCATAATTTTATCGGCAAAGAACCAGCCACCGCCCAGGTGAACTCGACGAGAAACGGCCATGAAAGTTGAGCTTGAACCAAATTTGATGGCATCGCGCTTGAGATTAGATAACGATTACGACGATTTCGTTTTCCTTCTCCCTTCATGTCCTTCAAACGCAAAACCCCGCGCGCTGCCGCCGCCTCGCCTTCGACAACGCTCCTTTCCACTGGCGTCCCCTCGCTAGACGATATCCTTGGCGGCGGCCTTCCCCTCTCGTGCTCGCTCGTCCTCACCGCGCCAGACCTACATTCGGAGTATGGAGAGCTCGTGCAAAAGTACTTCGTCGCACAGGGCCTAGCGGCACAGCAGAACGTCGTCGTCGTCGTAGGTGGCGCTGGCGCGAAATGGGTGGGAGAGTGCATGTGGCTGCCTGCGAACGCGAACGCGCAGACGGGCGTAGAGGATAATGAAGAAGCGGGGACGAGCAGTGGCGAGAAGATCAGGATCGCGTGGCGATATGAGCAGATGAAGCCCTTCCAGACGACGGTAGCCGACCCGTCCACCTCCTCCACCGCGTGAGTGAGTGCCCCGCGCATCGAGTTGGTGAAAAGAATAATCTGAAATGCATATGCAGCGCTACAGCCGACGCGTGCCGCGCTTTTGACCTTACCACACGAATACCCGCGTCGGTTGTGGACGAGGCCCTGTCCTCGCACCGCGTTTCTGTCGTTTCCATAGATGGGGTGGGTGATGGCCCCTCGACGAATCGTGTGCTCGCACGGCTGGAGCAAGTGCTTGCCGGAGCAACCGATGCACTGACGCGTGTCTGTGTCCCTGGGCTAGGATCACCGCGATGGGGCGATCTCTCAGCGCAGGTATGCCTTAGTCTTGTTTGCGAGAATATAAGTAACCGGCCATCGATTCAGGACATCCTACGCTTCCTGCACTCGCTACGTGCGTTATTGCGGCGGCATGCGCACGCATGCGCGTCGGTGAGCCTCGCCGCCGAGTGGTCCGTCGATTCTGCGGGGTGGTACCAGAAGCTCGGGTGGGTCTCTGACGGGGCAATCACCATGAATGCATTTACTGGTGCGTTGAATTAGTCCCCTCTGTACTCAACCACTACTTATGCACCGATCAGCAAACCCCGCTCTCGCTGCCGCCTTCCCTGCGCACCACGGCCTCCTGCAAATTCACACGCTCCCAGCACCAACCGCGCTCGTCCCCGCCTCGGACCGCTTCTCGACGCTACGTGGGACCGCAGCGGTCGGCGGCGGAGAGAATAATCTGGGTTTCAAGTGCACGAGGAAACGGCTCGTGTTCGAGACTGTGCATTTGGGAGTCGAGGGTGGCGTTGGGGACCGGAGAACGAGTGCACCAGCGGCGGCGTCCGAGTTGGCTGCGAATAAGCTGGCGCCGAGTACGAACACGCTGAGGGTAGGAGCAGCTGTGGAAGTGGAGGTGGAAGGTGCCGTCGCGGTTGAGCCCGTCGCTGAACCGGTGCAAGGCAAAAAAAATCGTAAACGTGTTGGGTTTCAGAGTGACCGGCCGGAGGTGTACGATTTTTGAGATTGATTATTTTTGGTGGTCCAAGCGCAATTTACGCCTGATGGCATCAATATCAGTTCTTTCCTACGGTCATGTCACGGAATAAAAGAGCGCGCACCGGGCCTTCGCGTGAGTTCGGTGCAGCAACAGAGGATGATTCGCCGTCTGCAGGCACAAGGGATCCCTCGTCCTCCGCGCTGAGCACGCGCTCCCCGCGCTACACAACCGTGCCGACACTCACAACGCTGTGCTCTCGAGTATTTGCAGCAAACTTTGTGAAGCTGCGCAACAACGAACGCGTCTGGCAGGAAGTGTCGGTATATCTGAAAGCGATGCCAGAGCCCCTACTACCCCGCCTGCTTGCCGAGCTCGTGCGCGTCTGTTCAACATACCTCAAACACGAGTTCCTCGTTGCCTACTTTTTCCGTGGACATACACTAGTGCTCTCCGATGGGCTCCCTGGCGTCCAAATACATACCGTGCGCGCTCTGGAGCGCATGCCTGACCTACGCGAGCTTGAGTTGTCTGGCTTTGCCAAAATCCCCGACGCTGCGTTTGCCTCTGTCCTTCCTCGCCTCGCCTCCCTCAAGCGTCTCGTCCTACGGTCTGCCATCCCTAGATTTCCCTCCCATCTCGTAGCTGAGTCGTTCTACAGCGGCTGTGCGCTCGTCGGAACTAAAACCCTCGGAGCCGCCGCATCGTGCACGCACCTCCAAGTTCTCAACCTAAATTACACCGCAGTGACTCCAATATCCCTCGTTGGCGTCCTGAAGGCTTGCCCGAACCTCGAAGTTCTCAAACTTGCCGGAATTGTCAACTGGGTATGCCTCTGGTAAGACAGTAACTTCCTGCTGACGATCTGCAGACAGACGCCGCATGCGCCAAGCTGCTCGACGGTCTGAGTGATAATGCCCCCTTCATGATACCTAAGCTCCACACGCTCAAGCTCGCGCGCCTCGCCATTTCTGAGACGACCTTCAACGAGATAATACCGATGTGTCCCGCCCTCCTCCGGCTTGATATCTCGTTTACCTCTGTGCGGCACCCACTCCTCAGCCTCGGCGACGCCAAACCTCTTCCGCCGCTCGAGAAACTCTCCCTTACCTCGACGCCAACTTCTAATAGCGACCTGATGGCCCTCCTCCCCCGCCTGCCCAACCTGAAAACGCTGGCAATCGGGGCTCTCGGAGCGAGCCCGCGCTCTATTGCCGCGATCGACTCCAGCATGAGCTTCACAGACGGCGCGTTGCTGAATGTCGTGCCGCTATTGGCCGCACATAAGTTAGAGAGCGTTAGTTTGGTCGGAAATGCCAAGCTCGGCGCGGCGCTGGGCGTCTTTATCGCTGAGGTTGGGCGGAATTGCAAGGTAACGAACTTTCCTTGTCTTTTCCATTCCCACCAGCTCACTCTTACTCCCAGTGGCTCAACCTCTCCGGCCTCCCCTCCCTGCGCTCCGCACACCTCGCTGGCCTTGTCCCCATCGACGGCGCCCCGCCGGCCCGCCTCGAAACGCTTATGCTCAACCACACTGGCATCGACGACGACGCCGCGCCATTCCTTGCTGCATGCCCTTCCCTCGCGTGGCTTGAGGTCGCCGAAACCAAGATGACTGGTACGTGCCGTCCCGCACTTGTACGGCTACTGATATGCACCTCACAGGCGACGGCCTCTTCCTCGTCCTCGACGGCTGTCCCCTCCTCGCGACTCTTGGTCTCCGCAGCTGCCGCGGTGTTCCCGTCGGTGACCGACGCCGGTTCTTCGAGGCGCGTTCATTCCCTCCCTCTCTTCCACTCCAACTCCGCGCTATCATCACCTTGCTAAGCGTACTGTAGGCATGGGAAGAGAGCCGCGTGAACGCGTAGTGCGCAGTGTCGCCAGTAGTGATGCCCAGGAGACACCCGAGGTGCGCGCAGAGCCACGCGAGAGTCGCGTCGTGTCGCCCGGGATGCAGTCCCAGTTTTTGGCGAGTTAGCTGACGATAGAAGCGCGAAGAACGAGCCGTTAGCAGAATTGTTGCCCCAGTTTCTAGCTAAGCTCGCGCATGTCTGCGGGCGGCTGAAGTGGAGGAGAGTGAGGCAGGCGGGTGCCTGACGTTTGTGTGTATGTATACTCGTTTTTTTCATCGCCGCATGCGCATGCGTGTCGCGTGCTAGTAGACTCTGTGTGCGGCGTCGTAACGCGCAGCATTTTACGCGGTCACGTGTCACCTTACAAGCCCCTATTCTCAGCTATTCCCAGAACGAAATCGAAATACGGTAGAGAAAATGTATACTAGACATATATCATAATCTACATGAACGAGAAAGCTAATCTAGTATGCGGAGGACATAAATACTCAAGCCACAAACCGCCATATGTTCTCGATCCACCGGAAAAGGACTGGGATTGGTTCTGACACCGTGTATTTGGGCGAAGTGTTGGAGGTGTCTTTAGCCGCGACAAAGGTACTGTCTTTGGATCGCAAAACCACATCGGCCCCCTGAGGGAATTTAGGCATAGTGGGAGAAATGCGCATCGCATCGGCGGCGTCGTCTAATGCTGAGGCTGTCCTCATTTTGGGCTTGCCGCGGGTGTTTGGAGGTTCGTCGCTGATTTCCTCGTCGACGCGTTTTCGCTTCCCAGGGGACAAGGGCAGCGTTACCGAACGCACCAGACCACAGGCTGGTGCCGGCGCTGCTGGTGGCTCCTGTACGAGATCGGCGACCTTGATGACAGGAAGGGGGGACGGGGATGGAGGAAAGTGGTTTATGAGCAATATGACGTGTCTTGAGAGGAGGTGGAGAGTGGGTCGCGGGTGGAATTGGATTGGGGTCGATGCGAATGCGTTTGTTGTCCTGCTGCGATCGGTCGCAGTCGCCCTTCCGCTTGAGCGCCCCCTTCGGGCTCCCCGTTGGATGCACTACCGTCGCCCCGAATCCCTTCCCTGGAGGCCGCATGTCCAGTGGCTTCGTAGGGACAATCAACGGCGGCTTAAAATCCGGAGAAGCTCTGCGTTTTTTCACAACCACTTCATCCCGAGACAACTCCTCCTCTTTCTCCAACTTCTCGAGGACGTCGAGGAACTCTCCCAGCGCGCGTTCGATATCCTCCACACTCTGACCGGGCATAACGAAACGGGCGGGCTCCACTGCGGTTCCGATCCATTCCAAATTCCACTCCCTTGAATCAATGGGTGGATCGCGAACGTCCTCCGGCAACGGCTGCTCGCCCGCGAAAGCCCTCTGATTCCGGCGCTCCAGTCGTGCGGCGCGCATGAGTTTCTCGTCCTCCCGCGTGCGT